TTTGCTACTCAGATTCAAAATGTCACATGCATGCACGCAGGGAGGAGCCGGCTGGGTTTTGACTTGTTGTGTAGGAACGCGAGTGATTTGCGTTGCAAGTGGTTGGCATGCAGACGGACAAAACTACACCTACGTAAAAGATTTTACGTACCTTACGTAAAATGAGATGTGGCAGTTTTATATTGCGTATTACTTGGGGGCACGGGCCCACCCTGAAAATCAGGGGGGCAGTTTCATTAGCTTGCAAAGGATTTACGTAATGCTTTGTAAGACATTACGTAGGTCTAGCATTTTTGCATGCAGACGCATGCATATCGTCCAAGAGACGACCAGGCACGCTCTTCTCTCTATCGATCCCCACCTGGCTAAGGGCTAGCTAGGTAGATTGGAAAGACCCGCAATAAAAACGTTAAATCGCAAAAAAAAACAATTAACAATAACAGTGGCTTAGTGGGCAGGTAGCTTAAGCAGGCCACACGACTTTCCTTCATATATTTACAGAATTGAGCCCAACCACAGCTCAGCTAGAGGATGAGTTTTTTTTTTTTTTTGAATACGCACAAGCATGCATATCATATACTCTCTCAGTATCACGATACTTGTCGTTAGGGAACTTGTACTGGTTTTCCCCCAACGTCAAGTATTTGGATACAGAGGGAGTATTTAAGACAGAAACGGTTTGAGAGCCCCCCACCTGGGCGATTACAACAAGAACACACCCAAGTCCAGCCTTACAACACGGACAAGATTACTCCTCACGCCTAACCCACAAGGACAACTCCACAAAGAATCGGTCAAGGACACCTCTGAATAGCCCAGCTTGCTTCCAGGCCCTTGCTTCTGAAAAGTATTCTCATGCCTATACTCCCTGAAGATGTCGATGACGGTAATTTAACTGGAACTGTGGTACTCCCTCCACCCCGAAATACTTGTCGGAGAAATGGATGAAAATGAGTGTATCTAGGACTAAATTGCGTCTAGATACATCTATTCATCCGACAAGTATTTTCGGACGGAGGGAATACATAGTAGCTAGCTAGAATGCCTTCAAATCGAGAAGCGCAATCAGATATGCAAAGAGGAGCCTTGACTTCCGTGTACGAACAAGCGGATGACTGGCTCCATCTAGTCTAGATTTGTAACTGACGGTCACTATGATATGATACAGTGAAGGTGCATCACGTGGCCGACCTAGCTAAGAATTTTCAGCGGTTTTGTAGCATGTCGATCTTGCAGGTGCCATTCAAACGAACGATCCCGTCTCTAACCACCCTAGCTAATTATTCCGCCATCAAGCTGTCACTCAACTCCTAGATGCCATCCGAAACTATTCCAAAATCCGTTAATCATATCCAGGTCTCCATTCTTGATAATATCCTACGTGATCTTGATCTGTAAACTATGCCCGACCGTACGTACTGATTAACAGGTGAATTAATATTAGTACTAATCTTCTGGTTTCTCCATCCAAGGAATCAATCGAGCAACCAATAATCAGTCGGCTTCACCGAGAAAACAGTAGAGCCCGGTCAGCTCTTTGCGTGCCCGCCCGCCCTGAATCGCATACACATGTATGCTAGTTTGGCAACATGTCGCCGTTGGTTAGGTGCAAATGCGTGTGCACGAAAGCCCCATGAAAGCGACGCCGTCGATGCATGCATTATCAAACCCTTTTATCACAACGGTAGGCCGTAATCAGCTCTTCTGACTTCTAGGTTCAAGCCATGCAACTTGGACATGTCGATCCACATTTGTAAGCAACGTACGTCCAGCTAGCTGCGACTTGTCGACCTGTGTGGAATTGAGGATCAGATCGAGCTATGTGGCTAGCAAATTGCACCGGACACATTTGACCGAGGACCGGCCGATTATAAATACCTTGGAGCGCTTTGCTTGAGGAAGCCACACGTACGACACCCTTTGGGTCCATCCATCTGCTGCAGAGTGAGAAAGATGGCGTCCAGAGCAGCAGCGGCCCTCGTCGTCGTGGCCTTGGCCTGCGCCGCCGTCCATTCGGCGGCGGCGGGGCTCTCGCCGGACTTCCACGCGGTGTCGTGCCCAGACCTGGAACACATCGTCAAGTACCACGTCGCCGAGGCCTTCCGGAAAGACGTCGGGGTCGCCCCCGCCCTCATCCGCATCCTCTTCCACGACTGCTTCCCGCAGGTACGTGCGTACGCACATATGTCAAATTATGTACATGTATGCATGTTAGCATGTAAGTATATGTAGGAGTAATTATGTATGCATGAGTATGATGCATGTTCCTTATTTACTGTTGTTGCAGGGCTGCGACGCCTCGGTGCTCCTCACCGGGAACAACAGCGAGCAGGCGATGGGGCCCAACCTGACGCTCCGGCCGGTGGCGCTCAACCTCATCGAGAGCATCCGCGCCGCCGTGCACCGCGCCTGTGGCCGGACCGTCTCCTGCGCCGACCTCACCGTCCTTGCTACCCGCGACTCCCTCGTGCTGGTACGCTACGTACCCTAGACCTTGGTGCCTGCCATGCAGCACGCACGACCATCAATCCAATTATCCAAATCTGAGTGCTCAGATTGGATGGTTATTCCTGGCGTACGTCGACATAGAGATTTACTGACGGCTAACATATACGTCTACGTGGTGGATGTAGGCTGGCGGGCCCCACTTCGACGTGGCTCTGGGCCGACGTGACGCGCTAGCCCCAGCGTCGGAGGACCTCGTCTTCACCCTACCGGCGCCCTCCTTCACCGTGCCGGAGCTCCTCAAGTCCTTCGGGGACCGGAACCTCGACAAGGCGGACCTGGTGTCCCTCTCTGGCGCGCACTCCTTTGGCATCGCCCACTGCTCCTCCTTCTCCGACCGCTTCACGCCGGACGTCGATACCAACCCGCCAATCGACCCCAATTTTGCCGCCAAGCTAAAGGCCAAGTGCGCCAAGGACGTGCCTGCGGGCACCGTCAACCAGACCCTCGATGTGCGTACGCCGGACGTGTTCGACAACAAGTACTACTTTGATCTCATCGCCAAGCAGGGCCTGTTCAAGTCGGACCAGGGCCTCATCGTTCACCCCGACACCACGCGCATGGCGACGCGGTTCTCACTCAACCAGGGGGCGTTCTTCGAGCAGTTCGCCAAGTCCATGGTGAAGATGAGCAACATGGACTTGCTCACAGGCAGCCAGGGCGAGATCCGGTTCAACTGCGCCGTTCCCAACAGCCGTGTCGAGGGTATCGAGACCATGAGTAACGAGGGCCATGCCGCCGCCATGTAAGAGATTGGTTAGTCGCCGTGCTTGCTGAAGCGTGTGATCACGTGTGTGCTACCATCATGTCATGGGGCTGGTGGTTCTGTGTAATTGTAATGTTGTAATAAAATGAGTAAGTGATCAGACACCATGCCCCAAGTATATATGCTTCCTACAATAGGAGGTTGTGTGCCGGTTTGAACATTAATATACAGACGTTGCAGATCGATCTTAGCAGAAATCGGATGGACAATGCTCGCCGGTAGCCTGGGGAGTGAGGCAGGGAGAGGATGAGAAGGCGTGCTACCTAAAAGATCCGTCGCGGCCACAATACTTAAATCATTTACAGATAAAAATCAACAAAGATTTGCCGTGCGTTGCAGCTAAAATATCATATATACACATCCTCTGGCTAGCTACAAAAACTTCAAACCATTGCGAGCCTTGGCTTAGTGTAGGAACGCACGCATCCATGACTAAGACTGACGCGGCCCATTGAAGGCTTAGCTAGCGTCAAGGTTTTCTTTTTTCATTTCGGTCTTTTTAACGAAGGTGCCCAGAAAACCCGGTTACCGAGGAATACGGGAAATCTCATGTTTAGTCGCCCAAAAAAATTGAGCAAAAATTTGTTGGGAATGGGATAAATTTATTTAGGCCTTCATCAATGGGCCGCGTCAGTAGGAACCTGTGTTTGCCAAACTTTCGAGTTCGAGCCCTTGAAGCTGCTGCCAAATTTTTGCATTTTTTTTTCCTAGTAGGGCCACTTGGCATTGAGAGTTAAAAAAATGTGCAAAAAATCACAGGCACAAGATCCATTGTTTATATTTTTCTTCCTTGTAAGGCCACTTGACAGGGGAGTAAGAAACTTTACAAAAAATCACAGGCACGAGACCAATTTTTATGTTCTTCTTCCTCATAGGGTCACTTGGCAGTGACAGTCAAATCTTTGCAAAAAAAGTCATAGACACAGGGCCAACATATGCTACCCAAACTTGCCATTTCAAGTATATGCACTGGTATATACGGATATGAGAAAAACAGGCAAGCCGATGGTGACAGTCGGATAAGAGATAGACCATAGAGTGCAAAGGCAGCTCCACTAACATGCTGATCATGGATGGTCTGAGGAGCCACACAGTTATACCAACATGAAGTGGTACCAGAAAGTAGTGCACGTCTTTGCCGTGCCATTCTTCTATTTAGGTTTTGAGCTTACGGTGCGTGAATCTATTATCTCTATGCGACAACTCAACTTTCACCGGGTTGTGTTGTTATGTATGGCAGCATGGATGGAGAAATGCATCACTGCACGCAGCGGCAGATCGACGGTGCGCAGCCCGTCGCGATGCGTGGCAAGCTTGCGCCCTACTTGGTGTATATAGGAAACGTGGAGAGTTATATGGCTCGTATTGATGTATTTAGGTGGACCGAGCTGACATTTGAGGCTGACACGCCGCTGCGCTGAGAACTGTACATCGCAGTCAGGAGGACAGAAAGTTACCGTTGCATGATCAGCATCGCAGTTGATGTATTTTTGGATGTACCAAGCTGTCAGGCGAGACCGACACGACGCTGCGCATATCACTGTACAGCGACGGCGAGAGGACGGAATGCTACCGTTGCGAGCTACACTGTATAACATAAACTTTTTTTCTGGTTGGATGTATTTAAAGACCATGCAAGCGTTCGACGGCACCCATCACATGCAACGCAGCCTCAATCAAACACGCTCAAACATCTCAGTTGCCCTCCACCCCCCGCCGCTGTGCCAAGATGTCCCAGAGTTCATCGTCGGCGCGTCGCATCCGGGCACCCCCACCCCCGCTGCCATTGATCATGTGCCCAAGGTGCACCGGGACGAGGACTAGGTGGTTTGTGTCCGGGACGGAACGCAACCCGGGCATCCGTTTCTACAAGTGCCCGAACCAGTTGGTAAGCAACACGTACCACACATCCGCCAGAACCGTTCTTTTCCTGCTTTCGTTCATCGTTCAGTTTTGAATCATGGCAGGACGGAGGCCCTTGCGATTTTTGGCTGTGGGAGGACCAGTACGCGTTCTACATCACTGCCGTTGGCATCAACCTCCTCATCGAGGCTGCTGGAGGTGGGAGCAACGTCATGTTCGGGATGGGGCGCGCCATGGAAGACATACGCGTCGCAGCTAGGAACACCATGATGATCTGTTTGCTAATGCTGTTCGTGGTGCTTGCCAAGGGAGCCGGCTGGCAGTAAAGACCAGGGTGGCGCAGCAATGAAGCGGAAACAGCCCGATGATGGATTACAAACCCCCTACCCTGATTTATGTTTGGTAATACCACACGCAACAGACCTGGACGATTGTTTCTGCACCTACA